TTCTCAGGGTACCGTTGTTAATCGGACTTGCCACTAAATAATTGGACGGTCACGTTTTTAAGGGATGAATTTCAAAGAATGAGGAAAAAATAAAGAAGTTTATGTTGATTTTGATTTTTAAAATAAATCATATTGTTTTCATTGCCAATATATACTAGAATACGCACAAAATTAGGCCTCATTTTGAATATTACATAAAACCATAGAGAATAGAATATATATCAGAGGGGAATTTAGAAAATCTCTCGGTATGCATTTTTTCAGACCCTTTTATCCTGAAAGGGAGTTCAAAGTGTACAAATCATGTAAATGTTCACAAATGATATGCAGTATGAGTACATTAATACAGTATGTTTCCTAGACTAATCATTTCAATTTCAAATTTTTTAAAGCTGTTGAATAAACTTTATAATGAATTAGGTGAATAAAAAACATCATTTGATTTATAGTTATAACGGAAAATCATCCTTTGTAAAGTGAAATGATCATTGGTCAATTATGAAACCAGCTATTTCATAATTTGGTTTTCTTTTAATATTAACTTTAGATTTTCTCTAGAATGATATTCCAGGACCCAACAGGTTATATAGCATAAATATGTGAAGTACACCTGCAGTATGGAAACAGTACAGCAAAATGGCTGTTTTACACTTTTTTCTAATAAATTCCCCTCTAATATATATTCTATTCTCTTTGCATAAAACATATTATAACGATCCTTATTTTAACATTTCAGGCCATCCACCATACTATGCAAGTTATCAAAGACAATTCTATCGATTCCCATGTTTATTGGGACACTCTGTACTCTGTATATATTATCATATCATTCACATCTGGGACATGTAATACTACCTAGTCTACCATTTACTTATAAAATAAATATATGTCTAGTTATTATTAATAATGTTGTTGGTATTACAAAACTGTGCGCTGATTTAATAATTATTGTTCAACAAATTTTTATTATTTTTGAATAAAAAAGGATTTCTCAATTTTATTGTGAAGTAAACACTGTAAAACTTTTAGATAAATAAATTTTTTTAAAAGATGGTATCGATAGAAACATTTTATAAAATCCTTTTCCTCTTTCTCCTCTTTCTCCTCTTTCTCCACTTTCTCCTCTTTCTCTTCTTTCTCTTTTTTCTCCTCTTTCTCCTCTTTCTCCTCTTTCTCCTCTTTAACCTCTTTCTCCTCTTTCTCCTATTTGTTTCCTTCTCTTCTTTCTCTTCTTTCTCTTCATTTTCCTCTTTCTCCTCTTTCTCCTCTTTTTCCTCTTTCTCATCTTTCTCTTATTTCTCCACTCTCTCCTCTTTCTTTTCCTTCTATTCTTTCTCTTCTTTCTTTTCTTTCTCTTTTTTCTCTTTTTTCTGTTCTTGTTCCTCTTTCTCCTCTTTATCTTCTTTTTCCTCTTTTTCCTATTTTTCTTCTTTCTCCTTTTTCTCCTCTTTCTCTTCGTTCTACTCTTTCCCTCTCTCACCTCCTACTCCTCCTCCTCCTTCTCCTCCTCCTCCTTCTCCTCCTCCTTATCCTTGTCCTCCCTACTCTCCCATTTCCTTAGGGAATCTTTATATGTAATTGGTGTAATTTGCTAAACCTGGAATGTTATATATCCAACGAGGAACTAGAGAAGAGGGAAGTGGGGGGGGGAGGTTAAGGATGGGGGAAATAAATATGAAGAAAGATAGCATTTATATAAAATCAAGTTTCATACATCGTTTCAAATAAATGGTACAATAAAGTTTTAGCAAATTCACGCGGGCTACAAATTATATAAATGTGCACAACACTCAAAAAATAAAATAAAATATAGTTTAATTGACTTAAAATTTTAACGTCTTTTTATTTGTGAAATTCTCATTTTTTTAAAAAGAATTTAAACATTTAATTTTTCACATGAAATATTTTTAACGTGCATGGAAAAACATTATGTTTCGTCATGTCAGGATTCTAAAATGTATTTGAATCTCTATGATGTTTCCCGCATTTTTTGTCGTCTTCCTTGTGAGTGAAACTAGTAAAATTTTGGCGCTCTAACTGTGAACTGTAAAGAAAATTATTACCTTCAACATTGCTAAAAACCTGTACACCCCTCTTTAATTGTACATTTATCTTGGTTTGCAAACCATAGACAATCTATTTCTACGTAATGTTCCTTGTATAATTACATAATTGTATAATTGTATTATGTATTATGTACATCCATTTATATCAATATTGCAAATACAAGAGCTAACATTTGCGCCCTAATTACTCAATCTACTTCCAATAAATATATAAATGATAAAAAAAATTCAATTTTATATAGTTCTATAGCTTAGAAACCCAGCTTCGCCTGAAACGTTCATTCAAGCAAACTAGAACATTCCTGGTTCTAAAAAGTTCCTCAATCAAATTTAGAGGCAAAACAGTTCAGGACACCAAACCAAACCAAACCAAACCAAACCAAACCAAACCAAACCAAACCAAACCAAACAAACATTCAGACAAACAGAGATTACTACTTTATAAACATAGATAATTTGCACTTTTGTTTAATAGTTTTTAGGGCGAGAACCACTGTATACGCCCCTGACTACGATTATTTTAAAATAAATATATTTATGATATTTATATTATCTACTAAAGATGGATGAAAGATCAAATTTGCGGTTTATCCAATAAAATTCATGTTTTGACAGTGTAATACCCTTCACACTATTCAAACACCATATTTAGAATATTAAACAGAAAATAAAATGGAACTAATATTAAATTCTAAGAAGACTCCGAAAGGTTTGAAAATGTATGTTTCTTTGACAAAAAATAAAAGAACCTTGCAATGAACGTGATACTTCATAAGTTTTGAGCTTTTAGGCTTAAGCATTTTTTTACAAAAAAAACATCTCCACGTAAATCTATTTATAAAAAAAACATCTGCGCGTGAATCTATTTATTAAAAGCATCTCCACGTAAATCTATTTATTACAAACATCTCCACGTAATTCTGTTTATTAAAAACATCTCCACGTAAATCTATTTATAAAAAACATCTCCACGTCAATCTATTAATAAAAAACGAGAAACATTATTTTGGAGTTTGTTTTCAACAAGTTAAGATTTATTTACTTTTATCAGAGAATCAGATAAAAAAATTTCACTTCAATAACTGAGTTTTGCCAAAAACCTAAAATCTATGCAACCTGATGGTGTAAGTTTGATATTTTAAACTGATACTATTTGATCTAACATAAATCATAGTTTTAAATATCAAAGATCGAAGAAATCGGGTTGTAAAGACTAAAGATAAAGGGATTAAAACGAAAAAAAAACTCTTTTCCGTTGTGGTCATCCTGGGCCTCAGGAATATCTTTGAGCGGCAAAGTAAACTAGTTGCATGAACACTTCCTTTAACTAAATAAACTAGTTGCATGAACACTTCCTTTAAATAAATAAACTAACTAGCTCTCTAACCCTGTAATCCCTGCAGCAACAGTAGATGTATTTTGCCAATACTAGAGGAACTATATAGAACTTCGATATATTGGACAGTTCACACTAAACACACATACTACACTACACTACACTACACTACACTACACTACACTACACTACACTACACTACACTACACTACACTACACTACACTACACTACACTACACTACACTACACTACACTACACTACACTACACTACACTACACTACACTACACTACACTACACTACACTACACTTCACGACACTACACTACACGCAACTACACTACACTACACTACACTAAACTACAATACACTACACTACACTACACTACTGTACTGTACTGTAATATACTGTACTGTACTGTACTGTACTGTACTGTACTGTACTGTACTATTCTGAACTGTACTGTACTGTTCTGTACTGTACTGAACTGTACTGTTCTGAACTGTACTGTACTGCACTGCACTGTACTGTCCTGTCCTGTACTGTACTGTAATGTAATGTACTGTACTGTACTGTACTGTTCTGTACTGTACTGTACTGTACTGTGTAAGATTGTAAGAATTCTAAAATTCTGTGAAAAGATATTACTTCAGTCTCAAGTCGGATAGATATTGAGTTATTGATTTAAATTTAATTTCCACGTTAATGGTGCAATTTATTCAACATTTTCTCTTGCATTTCTCGAAATTACTTTTGCTTCCATCTCACAACTTCACAAGATTCCCAGCTGCCAGCTTCAATAATAAACAAAAAACTGTTAAACCTCCTTGTTGACTGTACTTTTCATTGTTATCTAAGTTATTATTTTTTTCTTTAAAAAATTGTGTAAAGTAATTAAGTCTTTGTCAGTTGCCACAAACTCTGATCTACTAATCCCTATAGTTTTACAACCAAAAATCGCATACCTGAGATGAAATAATCAAAGTTTTATATATTAAAGGTTTACATCATCAGGTTGCGAAGATATAGGGATTAGAAAATTTGAGTTTCTGGCATCAAAGACTCAATTTCTAAGAAAAATATAAATAACAAGTGAATAAGTATTGTTTATTGATAATCTTAATTCCTTTTTGATTGATTTTTATATCAATAACTGGATTTTTAACTAGAGCTCATTCTAGTGAGAATTCAAAAATTAGAAAAATATATCTTTTCCTTTTCTTATTCATCTCTTTATCTCTGTTATTATTTTAAAAAAATTAATAAAGTTTTTTTATTTATCTTGAATTTGTTACATTGTTAATTTGATCATAAGTAATACAAAAGTATTGATGTAATAACTTATTTTTGGTTGATTTTGACATCAATAGCTGGGTTGGATTTGTTAGCTGTGATAACTAGAACTCCATCTGAGGATAGGTTAGAGTTTACATCTCCAGGTTTAGCTCCAGGAGGGAGTGAATACTTGCGTACAAACTGTCTTGAAACCATCTTTGTTCCATCCTCAGCTTTCTCTTCATGTTTTCCTTCTACAGTAATACTTCCACCTGAGACACTAACCTTGAGTTCATCAGGTCTATATTGAGATGTATCCAGACTAATCTCCATCTTTGTATCATCATTCTTTACTCTTATCACCTCCATATCCTTCTCATTGAACAGATTCATATCTCCGAACTCACTCTTTAAGCTGGGTAACATCCATCTTCTTGGAAACATCCAACCCTGTTCCCATTTTGCAAGAGAGTTCTGTCTTTGCAACCCTTTCTCCGGGGTCTTGGTTTGTGTCTCCGTGTTAGTATCTGAGTCTATCATGATATTGTTGGACATACAGGCCATCTGTCTGAAATCTTGATCAAACTTCTTCCATTGCTCCCTGGATTCCATAAACATCTTTTCACGAACTTTGTCAAAATCATCCCAAGAGGATTTAAAGAATGGATCATCAAAGAAGAAATCTCTGATTGTCATCGGGACTCTGTTTTCTTCCATCTTAGCTGAGTAGTGTAGTGTAGATTGGGTTAGTATTGATACTGATCTATGTAGGTGGGAAACACCTAGTTTTGTAGTAGAGTAGAGTCGAGTAGAAAATGCCAGAAACTCCAGGTCTGTTCACTGCCTAGTGCCTATATTTAACTTATGACTCATAATTTCAAAGTTCTGGAAAATATTTCTAATTATATTTTTCCCCACTAGTTTGCAAAATGCAGTGTGGAAAGAAATTTAAAAAAATTTTTTTGCGAAGAATGTTTTATCTAAGTTACTGCATTTAGACATTAGACATATCCCACACACCTGTTAGGTAATGTAAATAAACTGAGTAGTTTACTGCACATTTCACCCAATTCGACCTTCTCCCAAACTGTTAAATATATTTGTACATGCTCATATCTTTTCCCCTTTTTTATAATGTATAAAATCTGATATTTATACTATACATGTTAAAATTCAAATCAAAATAAGAATAGGAATAAGAATAGGAATAAGAATAGGAATAAGAATAGGAATAAGAATAGGAATAAGAATAGCTAAATCGATCAAATAAAATCGGAATTTTCTGTAATTAAATTTTTTTGTAATCTAATGAGCAAATCTTATCCCACCCTTACTTGCCAATTTCACAACTAAATTTTAGTCTATTTTTTTCACAGAAATATCTTTAAAACTTTTACTTTACATTCCTTCCATCACTTCTCCCAGATTTGGTAAAAGTATCAAATCCTAAATCCTTGTGTATATTTTTATACTGTGATGTAATGCTAGATACAAAGGCTACTGCAGTGGAGCAATCATATATAATGCTTAAACAGGTCAAAATATAAACCAAGTTTTATTAGCCTTATGAGGGAGGAGGAACGGGGGCCGTAAAAAAAAATGTTGAACACAAATGTAAAAAGAAGGTGACAATTTAATAGAATACGAGAGAAAGCCACAAACTCTGATTTTCTAATCCCTATATCTTTGCAACTTGATGTGTAGACCTCTGATATTCTAAGCTATAAGTTCTGTTTGATTATATAGTTTAATGTAAAAGGTTTACACCGTCAAGTTGCAAAGAAAGAGGAATTAGAAAATTAGAGCTTGTGGAAAAACTAAATTCTTTTACCAAAATTAGGAGAAGAGGAGAAAAGATATTTAAACTGGAAAGGGAAATTAGATAAACAGGAAAAGATGAAAACGAGAAATGGAAAAGGAGGGAAAAGAAAGTAAAGAAGAGTGGAAAAGGAGGAGAAGAGAAGGGAGCTTGTTTGTATAGACATTTATGTGATTGAGTTCATGGTTTATGGCGTTATATTCAATGCATAAAAAGATTTTTAAACACGTAAACTTGCAGAATAATCAGGTGTCTCAATATTTGGGATGGTTTTTAGATATTTAAATAATTTGGAAGATTTCATTTATTCATAAGAAATTTAATGAATTGAAGAGGTCGCTGAACTACCTACCACCGGCTCAAATCCTGAAATACCGATTCAAATCCAAATGAATCTTTAACTTTGAATCAGTGATTCAAGATTTGAACCGGTGTTAGGTAGTTCACGATTTAGATCTAATCTAGTATAGTCGGTCCCAGATTAACTTAATACCTCTTCGAAATCTCATAACTGTCAGACCCTGCAGGGATAAATTAAGTTGAGGATCCAATCATTTATCCTCAAAAGTACCCACATTAGTTATCGAGATCAAGTGTTCAATATGAACATTCCATACAAAAGTTCCGCACATTTTTGTTAATTTTTGGTTCAAACTATCTAAAAAATAAATAGTCATAAATTTACTACTAAATATTTCAAACTTTTTTAAAGTCAGATTTTATGTTCGTGTAGTTGGGAAGTTGATTTAGAAAAAAAATGTCAATGGTTAAATACAAATTTGAACAACCAGCTTTATACCCTTCAGCTGTCAGTTTTACACTTAGTAAATATATCAATATATTACACAGGAAATAAGAAATTTCTATGGCTTCTGCAAAATAATTAACATGTAAAATTCATTGTATTTAATGTACACTATAAATAGTACTTATTCTGTTTTTGTAACATTTTTTATTTCCGATAAAATGTTTCGAATGCTTCAACACCTGTCGGCTCACAAATAACGTAAATCCAACCCATTACCTAATATTCTACTGAATTCTAGAATGTTAGAGAAAGCTGAGAATCAAGTATATATATAGGTTGGGTAAAAGTTAGAAGTTAGTTATACACTATACACTGAACAGAGCAGCTAGCAGCCTCCTACGCAGAAACAAGAAACATGGAAGAAAACAGAGTCCCAATGACAATCAGAGATTTCTTCTTTGATGATCCATTCTTTAAATCCTCTTGGGATGATTTCGACAAAGTTCGTGAAAAGATGTTTATGGAATCCAGGGAGCAATGGAAGAAGTTTGATCAAGATTTCAGACAGATGGCCTGTATGTCCAACAATATCATGATAGACTCAGATACTAACACGGAGACACAAACCAAGACCCCGGAGAAAGGGTTGCAAAGACAGAACTCACTGGCAAAATGGGAACAAGGTTGGATGTTTCCAAGAAGATGGATGTTACCCAGCTTAAAGAGTGAGTTCGGAGATATGAATTTGTTCAATGAGAAGGATATGGAGGTGATAAGAGTAAAGAATGATGATACAAAGATGGAGATTAGTCTTGATACATCTCAATATAGACCTGATGAACTCAAGGTTAGTGTCTCAGGTGGAAGTATTACTGTAGAAGGAAAACATGAAGAGAAAGCTGAGGATGGAACTAAGATGGTTTCAAGACAGTTTGTACGCAAGTATTCACTCCCTCCTGGAGCTAAGCCTGGAGATGTAAACTCTAACCTATCCTCAGATGGAGTTCTAGTTATCACAGCTAACAAATCCAACCCAGCTATTGATGTCAAAATCAACCAAAAATAAGTTATTACACCAATACTTTTGTATTACTTATGATCAAATTGACAATGTAACAAATTCTAAATTCAAAATAAATAAAAAACTAAAATGTTTTTTCTTCTTCAAATAATAGAAAAGAAAACGAAAATTAGAGATGGTTCAGAAAAGAAACAAAATACTTGACACACACTCTAATTTTCTAATTTTTATGCAAGCTGATGTTGTAAACCCGAAATATTCTAAACATAGACAGTCTGATCTAATAGAACACATATTTTGTAATGTCAAAGGTATACAACGTCAGGTTCATAGCAATAGGGAATTTTAAAAAAGAATTTGTGGCAAGTGTTCAGTTATTTAGATAAATGAATTCAGAGATGATCTATAACAAGCATATTTATTTGTTCATGTGTTGAACATCATTTCTAAATAATTGTTCGAACTTTTGTTACACTTTAACACAGCTGACCCAGCTATTGATGTCCATCAACCAAAAATAAGTTATTGTACAAAATCTTTTTTAATCCGTTTTTTCCGTAAAAAAGTATTTACATAGATTTTAAAGATTAAGAAGATTTTTTTTTGAAAAGAAGTATATGCATAAGTTTGAACATATCCTAATTAAACAATTTAAAGAAAAGTATTTTTAAACAATATTATTATTATTTTGTTATATTCCAGATTTAAAAAAATATATCCAAAAACTGTTTACCTGTGTTCATAAACTTGATGCATTGTTTGCGATACATCAGTGTAAATATAATAAAAAATCCGCTGGATGAAGTTTCCCCTCTCTATGCAGTATTTTCTAAAGTTGCCTGTATCCAAGTATCCCATTAACTTAAATATATTATTGTACAGAAATCCATTAAGTTTTTACATCGTTGAAACATACATCAGTTTGGTCTTTTCAGTTATAAACCTGTTCTACACTTTTTTGTTTTAACGATCTTCTATTTTTTTTCAAGCACAGAGATCCGTGGAGCTATGCAACTTAGGCATCAACGTTCTGGACCGAGTCACATTTGAAGTGTCGCAACCCCTTGGCCTATGGTTTTACACAACTTACACATTTTACATTTTTGACTTCAACGCTATTTTTTCTTGCTTTAGTTCAACAGAAGTAATTGTCAAAATTCTGATAAATTTGTACGCGGAAGAATACACTTTTTTCCAGTAAGAGCTAAGAAATCAAATTTTGCCCCCCCCCCCCCCCCCTCCGTGCTTGAAAAACGGGTATTAAAAAAAGTTACAGAAAATCAGTTTTCTGAGTAATAATTAAATAACAAATAATCTATAATATCAGTACTCAATAAGCTAATTTTGCAGGGTTCCCTACCATAATCTTGGATTGCTCGAATATTCCTTTGGTTTTTGGCTTGATGCAGAGGAAATTAGAATGTAGGATTCAGGTTTGGCTCCTGTATGTAGATTAAGGTTTGGTTCCAGTATTCACATCCATGACTATAAAAAAATGATCATCAGACTGGAAAACTTGAAGCAAGAATACAGTCTTAGACAGACTGAAATGAAAGAAAAAAGATCAACGTATATCGTCAAAAAAGAATATTCAATTTCTCTGAACTTCAAATTATTTCAAAAAAAATTATTTGTTCTTCTTTGTATTTGTCCTTTCTGCAAGAAATTTGTCCTATCTGACGCTTAAATTGTCATATTTTTCTCTACTTTGTGATTTTTGTCTTCTCTTGCAGTCTTGGAAACACCGATGACTCTATTATTAGAATACAATCTCAAGTTTTTCTTAATTGAAAAATATCAGGACTCGGGACAAAATTAAAGTAGATTTATAAAATTAAAAAAAAGTAGACAATGAATTGAATTTTAATTGAATAACAAGTTGACAAGTTAATAGATGAAAAGAAATGAACCATGTTTGAATAAATGTTCCAAAATTGTGTTGCACAACTGCAAGTGTACACCAGTGAGATTTTTGGAACATTTTTTTCTTTTTCAAAGAATTTTGGTGACGTCACGCCATATAGCAACTGGTTGATAAACCGGTTGCAGGCTTGGAACCGGTTCTACCGGTCTCCAGGTCCCGGGCCGGATACCACGAGGCCGCCAACTATAAAGGTTGGTACAGCCTCAATCTGCCGCCTAGAATCCAACCAGCCTCTGGACACGCAGGACAGAATGTGAGGATATCCATCAAGTGAGTTGGAACCAGTACATCAGCTTTGTGTGCAAGATATATTCGTGTATTTTGTTTTTAGTTTCAAAAACATTTAAATGTACAGCATCATTAGTCAAAGGGTTGTCTGACTCTGATCTACCGTTGAGCGCCTGGATTAGCTCATCTTCATGTGTGTTTTTATGTTTCTACTGTTAGATGTTGAATGCTAAACGTATTTATTTGCCCTTCCCCACCTCCTCTTTTTTTGTTTTGATGTTTGGGATTACAGGGCCGGCTGCAGTAAACTAAGGGAATACACAAACATAAGCATGCCACGATGTTTTATGGCCAAGAAACTTAAATACCCTTACCAGAGGTGGAAAGCGGCGCAGGAGGGAGAGGATGAGTTTCAGAACACAGGTGAGATAAATAAAACGGTCAACTCAGGGGCAAACGGAATTAAATAAATGAGTTTTGGATTCCCGCAACTATATTTACAAAAACAAACAAAACAGAAAAGAGCTTAATACGGAAAAAGATATTGTATCAAAATGTGAAGGAAACTAATATGACATTCAAAGAAACTTATTTTTTCCATGTTGCTAAATTCTCCTACCAAAACTGATTTATAACTTTGTATTGTTAACACCGCATGTTCATTGCATGATCCTATTAATTTTTTTTCTACCAACCAACTTTTTTTTCTTTCTGTTCTAGATTTTTCTAGAAAATTTTTATTGAAATTTAATATTTTCTTGTGCTTTAATATGTATTTAAGAAAATCTAACGCTTTAATATATGTTCAATTTTGATCCCAAAATCTTTTGTGTCTTTTCAAAAGTCAAAACATTTTAAAATTATCGCAATATCTTATCTCCAGTTAAAAATTCCTAGAATGCTATTTGAGTTTTTCCAATCCTTAACCCTTAATTTTTCTTACTATTTTCTCATGTTTTCAATCTGGACCCTTGGTTCGTTTTAAAACATTTATGGTTTATGAAATATTTATTTTTTATCGTTTGAGTATAACAGTTATTTTGAAATATTTGAAACAAACAAGGTTCTTATATATCTTCCTTATAAAGTCTAACAGCTTTGAATGCTTTAAAACAAAAGGAAAAAATGATGTCCATATCTATCTCAAGCGCGATGATCTTCTCTATAGCGCGATCCCTTAAGTTTTATGGTTATCTTGTTATTAGGTCATTTATTCAAAAGGTTTCTTGTTTCAAATAGAATATATTCTTTAATCTTGGAGACGCATTACTTCTTATCTTAGTCAAACTTTTCCATGCATCTTACATCTTACATTAGTGGTACTTTTGGTCATCTTAGAGCACTAATGGTTATTCTAAAGAAATTTTGGTCATTTTAAAGTATTATAGGCTATTCTAGAGCATATCAGATTATCCTAAAGTTATTCTATATTTCCTATAGCAATTAATTCTATTTTTACAAAGAGTCAATTTATCTATTCCTGAATCTTTTTATCTATCCAATAGAATCATACTAGTTTATCCTAGAGCCAACGTTTTCGTCCAAGAGTTATTCTATTTATCCTAGAGCCAATCTACTCGTCCTAGAGTTATTCTATCTATCCTAGAGCCGATCTACTCGTTCTAGAGTTATTCTATATATCCTAAAAACAATCTACTTGTCCTAGAGTTATTCTATCTATCCTAGAGCCAATCTACTTGTCCTAGAGTTATTTTATCTATCCTAGAAACAATCTACTTGTCCTAGAGTTATTCTATTTATCCTAGAGCCAATATACTCATATAGTTATCCTAACCTATGTACCTAGAGCCAATCTACTCACAGAGTTATTCTAATCTATGTATCTAGAGCCAATCTACTCATAGAGTTATTCTAATCTATGTATAGCCAATCTACTCATAGAGTTATTCTAATCTATGTATAGCCAATCTACTCCTCCGGGCACTAAAGTTATTCATATATATTTATCCTAAATAGAAAATAAATTATGAGTATTTAGCTACTCTAAGTTCTATATTTATGCTGAGGTATTGCATTCATCCTTGGGGGATTAAAGTTAAGTTTCTATATCCCTACGGAGTTCGGTTCGGTTCAACTTTTACAAAAATGTTAAATTGTCAAATTTTTCTGAACACTTTGCCAGGCTTACATCAAAATGCGAGGTAATGCCCAGAGTTTAGGAAATTAAATATTTAGTAGTTGAAGGGCTTCATTTCCCTTCAGTATTAAATTTTCTCTTTAACCTTATCTAACTATTTTGTCAGATTTTCTTTAAAAATACACTTTTATGTATTTCTATCAAATTATATATATATACTTTTTGGATGTCTGTTTGGATGTCCGTATGCAAGTATCCAAAAAACGTCAAAACGGCTTAACCGATTCGGCCCAAATTTTGCGTGGGACCTCAAGGACCCCATTAAAGTTGAAGAAAAAAATCCTGGAAAATAGTTGAATTTTTATTTTAGAAAATGTGCCAATTCGAAAAGAAATTAAAAAATATTAGAATGCTGATAGATAGATACACATTCACCCTCATCTACATTATTGTTTTATATATTTTCAGAGCTGGTGATAATTTGGACATTTATTGCTGTTCTACATTTTAGAATAAATATATTTGAGATATATAACATAATTTCAGAATTGTATGCATAATTATATTCATCGATCTGAAAGTTTTTATTCTTTTCATAGTAGGGCAAAAATACAAAATAAAACTTTTTTGTGATAGTATTTTAGAGTGCTTAATTATGTTTATATTTTTTGTGTTCACAATTCGTTGGCTCTTGTTCTTAAATTATCCTTTTTTATAATACTTAGTGTTTATAATACATATCGAAGTCTTGACAAAAAATCTTAATACTTTTTTACATTTTTAAGTTAAAAATTTTAGTAAATTACGTTTTTGAAATCCCATGTTTATTGTACGGAGTTGTCTTTTTTATTCTTTTATATCTAAAAAGCCGAAAAAGGGATTGAAAATAAAAGACGAAGATTTGGGGTTTAATTGGTAAAATAGTGATAAAAAAGGACCGAACTGTTCAGCCAGCGTAAACTCTTTTTTTGGACACCCTGTAGTTTACCAACAAATATTTGCTTCCTGCTTGTTAACAGTTTAAAATCTTGACTTATTTCCTGGTAATAAATTCAATCTAAAAACAAACACCAAAGGTTCAAAAGGGTTTTATATATATCTGTAAATTATATAAGAATATATAAGCTATATAAAAGTAAGGGGTTATAAAGGGAAGGTTAAAAAATATCTGTTTTTATATAAATTGAACTTTTTGTCTTGGCTCCTTTATCTATTTCGGCTCTCTTGTCTATTTTGGCACTCTTGTCTAACTTGCATCTTTTGTTTATCTTGTCACTTTTTCAATCTTGGAATTCTTGTCTGTTTTGGAACTTTTATCTTTTTTGGAATTCTTGTTTTTTTTGGAACTCTTGTCTATTTTGGTTCTCTCGTCTATCTTGGCTCTTTTGTTTAACTTGTCAGACTTGTTTTGAATTTTTGTTTGTTTGGTCAAATTTATCGGAATTAGATTGTAGTTTCTCCACAGGGAATGAAGATAGTTATTTAAACAAGGGAAGGGGGGGGGGGTACATTCTTAGATACAGGGTAATGACAATTAATGTCACTTCACAAACGAGTATTTAGATTTTTAAAGTTTGACGTACCCTAAGATATTTGTTTACGGATGGACTGAATAACCTTCAAATCATGGTAGTTTTAAAGAAATCAAGGTACTGTCGAAGATATATCAAGTGAGTTAAATAAACGCATGCCGGATTCACAACTATACCCTTTTAGTCTTCTATTCGGATGCTGGTGTAAAGGGTGCTGTTGTGAATCCGTCACGCATCTCAATCTCACCTGGGGATTACTAGAAATAACGATGCTAGTCTCTTTAAAGAGGCGTATCTTTTGTTGGCAATGTTGTAGCAATCTGTCCCAAACTAAGTTGAACAATGCCTAACTCTACCAAATAATAACATGAAGTAAAGTAAAACTGAAATAGGAAATCGATAAGTTTGTATAAATGTCAAACTTGAAGAACACAAAAACAGTTTCAATTCAACTAATATGTACATTTGATATTCTCGGGATAAACCAAAGTAAATTCTCCCCTCCAGGAAAAATGGCAAATAAAAAAAATGGAAAAAACATGGAAAATTAACTTTTTCCACGGAAAAAACTTACAGATAAAAAAACACAAAAAGTCTAAATTTAATAGATAATAAGATCGAATATTTAGATCTATAAAAACTATTAAACTCTTGAATAGTTTTTCTAATTACAAGTTTAATAAGCTTTTAGCCGAATAAAAGTAGACAGTAAATATACTGCAAACAACCCTTTCATTCATATCCCCCTCCCCTCCTCTATTCTATTCCTCCGAGCCCCTGCAAATGTTTCATCGATTTTTCTTTAAACTTTTTCTGATTCACTTTCCACCACCCTTTGTATAATCAATTAAAAGTTTACATTGTGAGGGGTGACGGAGATTACATTTGCAATTTTTAACATCGACCGTATTTTGCAAAATAAATGTTTTATTCAAATATCTAAATTATTTAAAAATGTTAGATACTTTCTACAGGACTTGAGTTTTTTACCACAAACTCAAATTGTCTAATCACTATATCTTTGCAACTTAATGGGTTGAACCTTTGATATTTTAAATTTAGATTTTTTGATCCAACAGAAATTATATCTAAGGTCTATGCTATTAGGTTGCAAAGATAAAGGGATTAAAAATTGGAGTTTGTGGCAGACTCAGTTTCTTTTAGATATCTCCAAATGTATACATAACACTATCTAACTTTTATATATTTTAAATGTAGAATAGTATCTAAACAATTTAAATAATAGACATTTCACAATGTATGATACTACCTGAATTCTGAATGATAATCTGTCCAAATTAATGTTTACAATATAATCTTTAGGAAAATAACAGAAAACGACCTACTGAAATCAAAACAACTTAGAGCAAACATCATATTCAGAAAATGGTTCATATGCTTCCTTATTCCTTTATGTCAACTGCATTTAAGAAACAGAATTATATGCCAAAATTATTCTTATTTCGAGAAAACTAAAGATATTTTAACATTTCTTTTACTTACAGAAGTATTAAAAAATCAACTTGAAAAAATTTAAGCTTATAAAAGGCAACGACCCTCCGNATTAATAAAACGAATCAGAAATCTATAATTTTGTTATTTTAAACGTCAGAATTAAATTCTTTGAAGTGAAATTAACATTTTCTCTGTTTAATCAAGGATTGGATCTAAGGAATAGAAAGGATGTTGTAAAAATTTCAAAAATCAAATATTTTAGAAGATGATCACAGTTTATTCAATATAAATATAGGTATTATCTCTACGTTGCAAAGATATATTAAAATGCTATTTAT